ACTCTCATCTTCTAATGCACTAGCCAATTTAATGATCAGTTCATTCGTCGCTGCTTTTTCACCTATATTCCCGAGAGCTTCGATTGCACCGCGTTTGGTTCTTATACTCTGATCTGCTAATTTACTAACGAGTTTAGTGATCACTTCAGCCGTCACTGCTTTTTCAACTATATTTTCGAGAGCTTCGCATGCCGAACATCTGACATCGTCACTCTCATCTTCTAATGCACTAACCAGTTTAGTAATCACTTCACTCGTCGCTGCTTTTTCACCCATATACCCAAGAGCATCGCATGCCAAATATCTGACATCGTCACTCTCATCTTCTAATGCACTAACCAGTTTTGTGATCACTTCACTCGTCGCTGCTTTTTCACCCATTCTTCCGAGAGTTTGGCATGCCGAATATCTGACATCGTCACTCTCATCTTCTAATGCATTAATCAGTTCAGTGATCACTTCATTCGTCGCTGCTTTTTCACCCATATACCCAAGAGCTTCGCATGCCGAATATCTGACATCGTCACTCTCATCTTCTAATGCACTAATCAGTTTAGTAATCACTTCACTCGTCGCTGCTTTTTCACCTATATTCCCAAGAGCATAGCATGCATTGGATCTGACGCTCTCATCCTTATCATCTTGTGCTATGGTCACTAAATTAAACAGTGCAGTCGCTAGATTTGAACTGCTCACTTTGGAAATGAATGAGAGCACTGCGATTTTGATATTTAAATTACCATTTTGAACTAGATGGGTAACTACATTGATAATTCTTTGATTGCTTATCACTGATGGTGCTCTTCCTAATGATTGTACAAGACATTCAGGAATAATTTTGTTTTCTGAAGACAAATTATACTCCATGTATTTTGCTATCCATTCTATCAGTAAAGTGTGTTGCGGAATAGTTGATTGGCTTGATGTTTCTTCAATGCAAGATGTGATAAGTTGCATATGTCTTATTCCAAGAAGATCCATCGGCGGTGTTAATATAAGTTTCCAAAACATGTCTAAACATATGTTTGTATCAGCTTCGCTGGAGAGACCTGATAGAAATGTAAAGACTAATGCATAACGTTGATTGTATTTTTCTCGTTGAATAAATTTGATTTCTTCTTGATGAGTTGAAGAGTCTTTAAGAGCTTTAATCAAATATCGTGCTGCAAAATATTCTTGAAAGCTGAGATGCACAAAATAATGATCTTTATCCGTTTCAATTTGAGTATTGACACCTTGTTTATTAAAACTTTTGAGAATTCCCATATTGAGTATATGCGGATGATCATGTAAAGAGACTTTTTCTTCATTTAGTGCTTTTCTCAGTAGATTTGGTCGTAGAATTATAGTGTTATTCTTCATTCCATTAAAGGCTAGATTTTTTAGGAATGCTAATTCTTTTTTACAGCGTTGATTGACGTCATCTTTAGATAGATTTTGAATTTTTTTATTTGGCATTGATAAATATCGTCGACATAGCCATTCTATCATATTTGTATATAATGATGTTATTGTTAATTCTTTTGTTTCTATGAAATCTTCATTACTCCAAAGACTGCATATTAGTTCCAAATTCACTGGAATATGTGCAACACCCCAGATAGATTGATTTGTTTGTAAGAATCTGAATAATTTTTGACCTTTGTTTAAAGAATTGTCGAGTTCATCTTTCATTTGATCAAAGAATTTCTGCACATACTGCTCGATATTTTCGTCTGTAAAACCTGTAATTTCCATTTGTACATGATAAGCTAATACATTTTGATATGGACGAGATGTTAAAATATGATGTGGAGTTTTAAGTAATTGTTTGAATAAATATTCCAAATGTGAAGGTACATTTTGTACAATTTCATCATATCCATCCAAAATCCATAGAGTCTTTTTTGCATCAAAGTTTTTTCTCAGAAGTTTGTCTTCACTTTCAGATAGATCATAGGAAAAAATCTCTTTTTTCACAAGATCATATAATGTATAATTCTGACCATTTGATAAAGGAGGATATCGATGAGTTGTTAAGCGACGTAATGGAATCAAAGCCAATAATTCATACTGTGTCCAAAGTGAACCCATCGCCCATTGATAAGCAATATATCGGCAAAATGTAGATTTTCCGATTCCAGCACGTCCAAACACCAGCACTTGCTTCTCTTTATTTTTGCATGTTTCAAATATGTTTTTAACATCTATTGCAGTTTTTGTCCCATAAATCTCCTCAAAACTTCCCATAATAGCATCATTGTTGGGAGCATCACGAAGTTGTTTTTCTTTTTGTTGTTGCTTTTTAGTTTCGACAATGGCTAAATTAATGTAACTCTCTTCAACTGGATAGAATTTTGCTGGATTCATCAGACGTTCAATATAACCATTCTGTCTATATTCTTGTTTTATCCATTCAAATAGATGATTTGGCTCAGCTTGTGATTCACTATTAAAAACATATAGAATGATTAGCAGAATAGTGAATATTTCATGAAGTGTTATTTAACACAAACTCATTTAATTTATTTTCGATTAGCTCGAATAATCTACTAACGGATTTATAAAAGAGAAACTAATACTTCATGTATCACGATGAGATTTATTTGCAATTCTATAAACTTTTTTAACGAATCTTTAGCTTTGCCAAAGCTCATCAACAAAAAATGGATGTTGTTCGTAAACTGTTCCGAACAGTTTGTAGATTTTATTGTAGGTAGTGATTATTTAAATTTTAAAAGTTCTAGTTTACAAGCTTTTATGGATGCATTACTATCAACGTTAATTTATTTTTGTATGATATGTACATGTTATCAGTATTTAAGTTTCGACATTAAACTATTTATCGGATAAAATAAAAGGTGAGATAGTGAGAACCACATTGTAGATCGTTATACCTGTAGAATAGAGAATTTTTATAGAATGATCGCATTAAACACAATCTTATGGGTGAATGAATATCAGAGATCTTATTTATCTTTTCAAATGGACTAACTTTTGAAGAGTTACTTCGTCCAAGTGGACAACGAAGAGAAGATCAATGAAATTGAGTACTTCAGTTTTGGCTCGCACATAAGTTCCAGGCATTAGAATAACTTCTCGTTCCTCTGGATTTGTAGAAAATTGAGAGATATCTTTGCCATTCATAGTTTCAATAGCGAACAAAGTGCCATGTTCGCCTAAAAATGGTTGAACAATTTTCAGATCCATTGAGGTTGAATTGATACTCCACCAAATGTCGATATTATTGTTAGCAAATACTGAACTGACATCACCGTAAACGCCTCTCCAGACAACTGCCTTAATCGATGGTAATTTCTTGAGAGCTGTCATAAACAACTTTAAGTAGGCAAACCATGGCTTAAGTGCATGTCGATTTTCAGCTCGAAGTGTGTTGTTGAGAGAAGAATAAAACGATGATGACATCGAGTAGAGATATATTGCCGCCGATTCATCTCGCATTAATAAATCTGAATGTCGATAATATTTCTTTGTAGCTGTCATAACATAAGCTAAGACATCGGGAACGAGTGGAATTAGTTTTTCCACAGCTTCTTCTAATGTCAGAATGGGTGAATCTTCGTAACCAAATATTGGACTGTGATTGGCTTCTTGAAACTCTGAGAGAGTATGGTTTACAAAACGATTTTCCGGCATAAGTATCAGTTATCGTTGGATTCTCGCTGAGATGTGTTCAAATGAACCGTTTGTATCTAAACAGCAAAAATAATTAAGATATTGTATCAATTCAAATTTTACTCCATATTCGTCGTCTTCTACTAAATTTTCGATGATAGCAAGGTTCATATCTAGCAAGAACCGTTGTGTGACTACTAGTATACAAAGAAAAGCGTGTGAGTGTAGATATTGTATTCATCTCATGTCCATACCCACACCCTGTAAATATTCTATTTTACTATCGCTTTCGAATCGAAATGTTATTTCAACGTACCGCGATATTTGTATCTTAAAAAGTAACCCGATTAACCGGTATGTGAAGTAAATAAACTGAACGTTATTTCGGAGCATCTGCTAGTTTTCAGTAACTGCAGCTGTTCTTTTTTGCACTGCATGACGAAAAGTTCTCTCATTTTGATTCATCATACATTTATGAACAATTTTATTATATTTATGATAAGATATTCGAAAATTAAGCTGTAGTAAATTATTCAGTAAAATATTGAAGAATATGAAATATTTTCATCTGATTGTAAGAGTGACAAAAAAAATATTCATAACCGTATTTCTCAACTGTAGAATAAACTCTAACATTTAAGGATATTATTTATATTCTTTAGACTACAATCAAATAGTATAATTTCACTTACAGTTAAATAATATACAATGATAATTAAAGCCGAAAAAGAATAAATAAAAAATTCAACTGTGTGTCTAAACGAATACGAATAAATGAATAAACCATCGAGAAACACACTGTTTTATATCTCCTTCATTGCAGTGATCACTGATGCGTCCCTCGTCTTTTTTTACCTTAATTAAAAAAACGGTAATCAGTGAGAGAACTAAGCGTTTAGGCCACGATATTTTTTAGTTATTTGCATAGCAGATCGAGAATAACACACAAAATTACAAAAAATACCAACCAGCGCATACTTTTTCTTTCCTTCCTTGCAATTATCATTACTGTATACACTTCATTTGATGTATCAAAAAAAATCAACACGTAGTTAAATAGAAGAAATTTCACATAAAGTCATTATAGTTCGTTTATCTAACGAATATAGCTTGTGATAAAATATAATGCCGATCCAGGTTCAACGTGCTTTGTCGTGAACGACCGTTTACGAAGAAAAACGGAGATATAGGTGGATGTGGGTGAGGGTGATACTAGGAAAAGAGTAAACCATAGCCACACACCCACACTATCCACGTAATAATTTTCATATGCAATCATCATTCTATTATTGAAAGATTGAAACATTCATAGAAAATTTCCTAATTTTAATCATACAATTAACTATATCATATTATATATTATTTTTTGTGGAAGATGATGAGACATTACAATACATAAAACATAAATTATATGTTAAATAATAAATAATTTTAATGACGTTAGTCAGGTAGTTTATTCTTACTCAATCAGAACGGAAAGACGAACATAATTTGTTAATTTATTATTCGATATTGTTATTTCGTAATAAAGAAAAACATTTTCGATTTATATGTGTTTTTAATAAATGATAGAATACTCAATTAATAAGCTCATCTTTTATTTTTTCAGTAAATTTAAACTCTGATATGAGAATATTAATCATTCCATTCATTAGTTTTAATATGTACATTAATTGATTTTTCAATGATATTAAAAACTAATTTGCTTTACAAACGAAAAGATCAATGATCTAATGTTATATATTGTTCTTCGTTAAATCAAGGATTCTATTGAGCAAATAGTATTCATTGTTATAGACGTGACATTGATTTATTGTGAAAGATATTAGTTTTGATAATTGTTAATTTAGTGTAGAATGTATAGCTTCTGTATCGTGCTGACAAACTTTTTCAATTTTTTAATCTAGTGCGAACATCATATAAATATAGAGAGAATCTATTTAACGAAATATAATCTAGAAAAGTGTATATATCAGACAAATATTGGCGTTAAATATTGATCTTTAATTAATCATTACAATTGAGAATTAAAAGTGAAGAAGTAAATAACAGCAGTAAAAATAACTATTTGAATATATTCATATTCAACAAAGAATGTCAAATATAACTAGATAGCATTCGAGTTTTACTCAACTACGAAATGACAACTGGCGAAGAACTACAGAAATGCTTCACATCGCACCGCATTAACAATAAAACTATGGGATAGATTAGTAACTTATTTCTTATAATTCGAATTATTATGAAATCTTAATCCTTATGATCGAATATGAAGGAAGTGCAAATCATAACAATTGCATTTACATTACCACGTGTGCTCCGTAAGAAAGAAAGAGAAAAATATTTTTTTTCTATACTACTTTTAACATAAAAAAAGCATCATGTTATGACGAGTATTCTTTGTTGGAGTGAAATTGCACAATCACAACAATGTTTACATCCGCGTGTGCATTATATAAATATGTTCGAGGAATTATAAATACTCATTAATATACATTATCTAATGATATGAAATATTTTTAGAATCAGTGCTTTGATTTAACAACGTTTTGAAATATTATATAGATTTATTATCTATTTGTAGCATTGTAAATGATGCGTCAGAATATATCATCGAATTCGGATTCAATGCAAGAACTACATCTCAGATATAGTTGGATTCCAGGATCTGAAAGTATTCGACCGAATGCTGAAAATAGACAAAAAAAAGAAAATTATATTAAAAATATGTTAACTCGTTATACTAGTCTTCAAGATTTTGTACTTCATAAATTTTTTGGATTGAAACCTGTCGTTCAAGGTGATTTTATTAATTCAAGGTTACAAGTTCCTTCTACAGAAATTTCTTCTGCTCGAATTGCTCATACAAAAGATACAAATCGTCATGAATTTCGATTTGTAACTAATCTATTTTCTTATCACATTCCAACTGGTACAAATCATTATGTCATTTGGTTTCTTTTAAATGGAAACGAAAGTATTGATCCAAAAACGAATTCACCACTTACCAATGATGAAATCAATTCAAGTATTGAGGAAGCACTTCGACAAAAACTTGGTTCTACAAATGACACCTTTTCATTTGTTTGGTATCTCAATCCAAAACAAACAATTGTCTCTGATGTTCTTTATCATGTACAAGTTTTCTGGATACCTTAATTAAGTATAATGAATGAAATTCTATTATACATTAATTAGTCAACAGTATTGTTTATTGTTTTTTAATTGTTTCATAATAATCAGTACAAAATAAAACAATAAAAATATATCTAAGTCTTATACTTTTACTTATTTATATTATATATATATTAACCACATAAGAAATAAAAATCATCGAAGGACGCTATTCAACCGTAACTTGCATATGTATACACAAAGATACTAACGATTGATTTTTATTCTAATACAAATATACAAAAGAAAGATATAGTTTATATCGTGCATATTTTAACATTTTGGTAGATACATTCAATATTGATTTATTACTATATTATTGTTTTTTTTAATCATGATAATTTATCTTTTTTCTGGTTCTGGAGACTCTTCTACAGCTCTCATGTATTCATTCAATCAACGTCCTGATACATATGTTATGGATGATCCATTTTATGGAATTTGGCTGAAAAAAACTGGCGAAAAACAAGCCTATTACGATGAAATAATGTTAAGAATGGAATGCGATGATGCAAACAAGATACATGATGAAATTGAAAAAAACGAAAAAATACAAGGAAATGTATTTGTTAAAAATAATATTGATACTGTACAATATATGAATGAAAATCGTTTGTTAAAGTACCGTCATATATTTGTCATTGATGATCCTGCCGAGACTATCGTATCACGTATTATAACAGATCGATCGAAAACTTCTGCTGATATATATCTGGAACAACAATTACGAACATATAATTGGTTAAAAGAAAAGACTAAAGAAGATCCAATTGTTATTGATAGTAATGGGTTGAACAGAGATCCTACAATAGCGTTAACTCATATATGTGAAAAATTAAATCTTCCCTTTACAGATAAAATGTTATCATGGCCAGCAGGTCCAAAATCAATCGATGGTCTTTGGGCTGAATCGTCGTACAATGAAATTCACTCATCAACTGGATTTCGATCAATATCTTCAACAAAAAGAACTCGAGATACTATTCCAAACCATCTTGTATCACTCTATGATGCAGCTTTACCTTACTATGAAAAACTTTTAACACACAGTATCTAAATTCTGTATATTCTCTTCAATTTTTAAACTTATTTTTATATGAATAAAATACAAACAATATTATTAGTGCAAAATAAATATAATTTTCTTTTCCAGTCATGAAGCAGTAAGCTTTGTTTTAAGACAAATAGTAGTGAACCATAAGAAGTACTTTGTTTATGTATGATAAACTCGAAAAGTTTATCCGGTTCTCCACAAATCTTTAAAGTCATATTTACTATATTTAACAAAAAAAAAGATCGTTAGATTCTTAATATCTAATTAAAAGTATGAAAGAATTAACAGCTATATTTAAAATGTAATCAATCAGTCTTGTAATTCGGAATTGAACACAATCATAATGAGATTATATAGTTCATGATATTTATATTCTTGTGACATGTTTGTATAAAATCGAATTGACATTTAACTTATATCAATATGATTAATGATAGAAATTCATTTATCATCGTAACGACATTCATTCATAGAAATAAAAGAAGAATTTTACTTTATTTGATTAGTCATTTGTATAACCAATAACAATTTTGTCAGCATAATGCTGATCAATCCTATTAAAAGACAATGAAAATGAACAAAGACTCAAATGCATAAATGCATTTAATATATTCAAATGGTCAGTTGTTACTCATCGAGTGACATTCTCTGTTCATAATTTATTTGTTCGACATCTTCTTGCTACATTCAATCAGACTTTGAATTGAATTTTCTTTGTCTATTCTATATTATATTTTAGATCCGTCAGTCAGTTAATTGGACATTTATCTTCTCTTATCCATTTTCCCTTCTTTTTAATCCACTCATGACCGATCAAGATTCTAAAATGGGTAATGAAGATAATGGTCAACAAAATAATAATTTTAATAATTCAAGCAATGGAACAAATCGTGGTGGTGGTAATCATGGAAGACTTGATGTACGATTTCTAGTGTGTAGTCGAGATGCTGGAGCTATTATTGGTAAAAAAGGTTCAAATATTCAAACACTTCGACAGAAACATAAAGTTATTATTCAAGTACCCGATTGTGATGTATGTAGATTTATTATTTTTCTTTTTTTGAATTAAACAAAATTCTCTTGTTATAGGGACCAGAACGTGTTTTAACAATTCAAGGTGATTATGATTCTTGTATATCAGCTATTGTCGATATATTACCAATAATGAGAGATAATCAACGTGTACAAAATGATCAAAGTGAAATACGTTTATTAACACATCAAAGTCAAGCTGGAGCGGTCATTGGAAAAGGTGGTGAACGTGTACGTGAACTACGATCAAAATTTAATGTTGGTATGAAAGTTTTTGTTCAATGTTTACCATTTTCTACTGAACGTGTCGTTGCATTACGTGGTCGTGCTGATGATATTGAACGTTGTTTACGTGAAGTTTTTAGTATTCTTGATCAAACACCACCACGTGGACAAATGTGTTTCTATGATCCAATTAATTTTGATGTAAATCTTTCATCTGAATATGGTTTGTTTTAAAGAAGAAAAATTTTCAAAACAAATGAAAATTATTTCCTTCTTTTTCTTCTAGGCGGTTTTTCTGAAGTTCAATATGGTGCAATGATGAATCAAGGAGGTAATGGTGGTGGTGGTGGAAATGGACCACCTTCATCATATCGTGGACCTCGTGATCAAGGAAATTTCCAAGGTCCACCATATAATAATAATAATAATAATATTAATAATTATCATAATGATCTAAACGATAATTATAATCAAGGACCCCCTCCACCCATACCACGTCCATTAATCAGTGGAAATGATTCAAATTATGGTGCACCACAAATTCAGACAAATCAAGTTACTATTCCAAATCATCTAGCTAGTTGTATTATAGGACCTCGTGGTACAAAAATAGCACATATACGTCAAACGTCTGGTGCTAGTATTCGTATTGATGATCCAGCTCCAGGTTCAAATGATCGTATTATTACAATACAAGGTTCTCCTGCTCAAATAAGTCAAGCACAATATTTTCTACAAATGGCTGTGAAAGAATCTGGCTTATGGAATGGAAATTAAATTTCAAACGACTTCATTGTAAATTTAAAAAATACTTATCGAAACAAAAAAAAGCAAAAAAACTCTCTTTTGTCGTTGTTATTGTTTTTAGTTTTCTACTTATTACCTCTGTTATTATTATTGTTGTTGTTCTTCTTGATCTTACATTTTCTTTTTTCTTCTTTCTCATTTTCCTCTTTACTAGTATAACGTTCCAGAAAACTTATTAAACCAAAGAATAAAATATCTACTTGTTGTTATTTTTCATAAAATAGTAAGATAAAACAAAAATTTTATTTTGAGGAAAAAACAAATTAAAAGAATATATTCATCGAAACTTAATATTGATCTGAAAAAAAATGAATTCTGTTTTTTTGTTGTCATTTGTAATATGTACATATAACTTACAAAATCAAAATAAAATTTAAGATTTGAAGTATATTGCTTTATTCATCTTGACGAATTTCATCATGAACTAGAACAACAAAAAGATTTCTTTTGCTATATTTTCTATTCCAATGTTGTATATTTTTAAAGAACGGAAACAAAAAACTGATTATAATAATGCTAGATATATTTTTGTTTAATGATAGATGATGTCACGCCAAAAACAAACGAAAACGAACGAGTATACATAGAACGCGCAGTTTGTTTTTTCTTCAAATATTATAAATGTTTGCTTAAATATATTTATGAAAGAGATATAATATATAGCACGCACGTCTATGAAAACAAAACCAAACAGAAGAAAGCCATAATTTAGGTTTTTTTTTTTTGTTAATAATATGTATCACTATCTAAGCATACGTTAACACATGTATCATAAAGAATGAATGCGTACAAAACAAACAAATAAATCAACGTTTTTAGAATAATAGATAGATAGATAGAAATACAACACCCGTAAAACGATATATTGGAAGTTCAGACGAGGCATAATGCACTCATCATACGGAAGTTAGGAACAAGGACAGAAAGAGAGAGAGAGAGAAAAAAGCGCGATGGATCATCTTTTTATGCTATGCTTATTGATGTTAGTTTTTTATAAATTACTATTTCACAATGATACAATAATAAAAAGCACATAAACTAATACCTCTTTTCCCATCTTGTAGAAGATAAAGAGGTTTGTTTAGACAAAAAACGAAAAGAAGAATAGAGGAGTTAGAAATCACTAGTAATAACACACACGCACACAAAATGTTCAATAACAATAAACAAATACACACACCGTAATTACACATCGAAAACAAAAAACAAAAACGATTATGTTAGGTGAGATGCACTAGAGAGACCGCCTTTATAATATCTATATACATTAAAAACGACAAAACACAAAATATATGTATATATATATATATATATATATGATAATCTAACAATCGTGATTAAATAAGAGTAGACGAAAGAATTTTTATTCTTTTTTTTTTAACCAAGCCAAACGGTATGAAAACACGGCGTTAATGGAATCATAGTAGCAGCTTTAAAAAAGAAAAATAAAATAATAAAAATAAAAATAAAATCCTTTGCATTTTTTTGTTAATTCGAAAATTAAGCGTTATACCTGCAAAAATCACGACCCATTTTAAACCAAAAAATGGTTGACAATAAATATGATGTTGTGTTTGCTGCTGCTGCTGTGACTGTATTGTCTGAGTCTGCTGTGTATTTGCAGTACAAATGCCTTATAGGTTTACAAAAACAAAAAAAAATGAGTCGTGATCTTTTGCCGGGATAGTTTTAGTTATCATAGCAAAAATTCAAAAGCAAAACCCAGAGCAAAAAAGAACATGAGACTTACGGAATATGCCTGGTGGGATAGGTCGATAAATAGTTGGTGGAAATGGATGAAGTGCAGCATTTGTTGGATCTGGAAAAAGAACTCGATGTGTCGGATGACCAGGTGGAGGTAATGGAACAAAAGCTGTATGAAAGTACGGAGAAGATTTTGTTTGATGTCTTAATGTGGCTTGTTTTTGAGCATAGATTATTCGGTAAAGTTTATGCCAATCTTTTCCATTTGAGCTATTTTCAATTGTACTTGATATTGATGTAAATGCTAAGAAGAAAAATATTTTATTTTAAAACAAAAAATACGAATAGATTCTTACTAGTTTTATCAAAATCTCGTATACATAAATCATGCCAAAGAAGATTGTCATTTAAAGTATTATAAATATCACGACATGTTAATTGAAGTGCATGTAAAGATTTAATTGGAAGATATTTTGCTAAACGAAGCTAGAAAACAAAAAATATCGATATAGAAATTTCGAAGAAAAGAATAAATCAAATTACTTTGATTTCATTTGGTAATCCAATTAAAGTTGCATTCGTACGTTGTCCTGATTCTAGAAATATCAATAAAATTAAAATACTAGAAAAAAGTATGTATCTAACCTTCAAGTAATTTGCATAATAAACGATTTGCAATATTATCTTTGAATAACCGTGATAAATTACGAAGATCATGATAAGGAAAGATGGCATTTAAAGCTATCGCTAAACGACAATAATTTATATATAATTAATAAAGATTTTTTTCTTTCAAAATACCTTCTTTTTGTGTATGTAAATAATTTCCAATATGAAATGATAATTTACCACACGCTTGCGAAATTGAATTCACAACACCTAAAATAAATTTATATGTATATAAAAAAAAAAACAATTCATATTCGATAATTTACCATCAATTGTTACTACGGAATCTGTTTTCATAATTGCTAATGAACATCGAATACGTTCTTCTTCACATAATTTATGTCGATAACGAATAACATAAAATGTCGATGATTTCCTTGCAATTTTTAAATCCGAATTATTATTTACATCCTAAAATATATATATAAAATTTATTTTTATATAAAACTTTTTTTTACCATTTGAAAACCACTTTCAAGCATCAAAGCATGTATAATAATAACTAGAAAATCGAAATCAGTTTCCGGTTGTGAATATTCAATAAGACGATGTATTATTGTTGGATATGTATGTAGATCTCGTATTTCATCAATTGTTAATGGTTGATCCATAGATGATATTGTTGAGCTGTTATGTTTAATTTCGTTTAATATATAAATTGTATCACCATTAACCAGACCTGATTGTGACATTGTTTGATTTTCATCTAATGAATCTTTTCCATTAAGTGATAAATGAAAATTAAATTTTTTCAAGGATGAACAATGTTGTTTTATTTTAATTTTTAAATCAATAAGTGATAAATCATCTTTAATATCATCAAATGTTATTGAAGTTGTTTGTGTATTAATTTTAATTCGAAATTTCATCATTCGAATAAAATAAAACAAAAATAAACTTCGTAAGTTCTATTAACACAGTAGACAGCGCTCTCTTTCTTTCTTCAATAAGTTAAAGCAATGAATTCACATGATCGTCATAGAATATCTACCAATGAAAATCTATGTCGCTGTATGAAAGATTTTCTTTAATATATATGTATATATATATAGTTATTATAGGTAATCATATGTTATTTTGTTTTTCACCTTTATTATATTTATAAGCTAATTGTTGTGTCTAGGGTAATATGAGCGACCATGAGGTATATAGTAAAAATCTTGAAATTTGTAAAGAATAAAAAAGTTCGTTTTGATTTAGCATTCAGAAAGTCGAAATGTAAAACGATCACGACGACGATCATCTGCTTCACCTCGAAGAAGTCGATCACAATCTTCACCACGACGGTATATTATAATCAGATGAAAAATTGAGAAGAATATGTTTCATAGATACTTTTTTTCTTGAATAGTTCTCGATCACGATCACCTCGTCGAGTACGACGTAGTCCAATGAGTTCATTTAGTAATCATCGACAAGGAAATGATGGTCAACGAACAGGTCCAAAACCAAGTCCCGTCCTTGGAGTTTTCGGTTTATCAAGAACAACAACTGAACGTGTTTTAAGAGGTACTTCCGAATATTTGAAAATATATACAAATTCTTCTTCTTCTTTTCAGACCTTTTTAATAAATATGCACGAGTTAAAGATGTGCAAATTGTAATTGATAGAAAAACACAAAAATCTCGTGGTTTTGGTTTTATTTATTTTGATGATGTTCAAAATGCAACACGTGTAAAAATAGAATCAAATTTACTTATTCAAAATTGATTGTATCTATTCTTAGGCGAAAGAAGCTCTTAGTGATCTGGAACTTGATGGTCGTCGTGTACGTATTGATTATTCGACGACAAAGGGAGCACATGACCCAAGTGAGTAATATTATTATTTGTTTGAGTCTGAAGAGCTTTTCTTATTATTATCAAAGCTCCTGGAATTTATATGGGTGATCGTAATGTTGGACTTAATCGATCAAGCACAATTGCTCGTCGACCACAAGGTTATCGTAAGAAACGATCACGTTCTCGTAGTCGATCACGTTCTCATAGTCGATCCCGAACACGACATCGTATGAATTTTGAAAATTAAATAACTACTTGTTTAAAACCTATTATTTAGATCAATCTCGTCATTATAATCATCGTCGTAGATCACGTGATTAAATAACATATCATTCATTCATTCATTCCTTTCTAATGAATCTCATCGTTTATAAATGATAAATAAGTAATTGAAACTAACCACTATACTCATTAAATCAAATTTTTTTCCTATTATGTAATTTTAGTTTGTCTTTCATTAATATTATAATATTTTCACTTTTTGTTATTGCATGATAAGATTCTTAAATGAATTGTTTTTATTTTATTTATGTCAAGAAAAAAGAAATTATGTAAAACAAGATTTACGCAGAAAATAACGATATATATTGAATATATAGAAGTAAATCAAGAAAAATATTAATGCAAAGAAGAATGTGTTATAAGGTAAGTTATAATTATTTTATTCTATTTATTTTTGTCTTTATTATATTTTAATAAATATTAATAAAATAAAGAGAATATTCTTGTTTATTTCTATAAAACTTCATATGTTCATATTTACTGTTAATTTTGCATAAAATTGTTTGATAATAAGACAAAAAAACAATCTATTTAATATATGATTTTGATTAACAAAAATTTTAAATGCGTATTTTCATACGTTGTCAGTATTTCAAAGTGTGATCGATCACGTACATTCACAAGATAAACAAATACTTAAAATTTTGAAAGAGTTGATTGTTCTCTTTTTTTTTTGCTTTAAATATAACAAAAAGTTTTTTTTTCTATCAAAAAAAAACGAATCGTTTCATTTCTTTACTGGTTACTATTAAATCACAGTATTTTATAAAATATGTCTCAAACGTCTTTGAATCAAAACTCATGGACATTATTACCGCAATATTCACCGATACCAAATGGTCTTGCGAACCTTTCTCTTGTCTGTATTTAAATGATAATTAAAAAAAATTCACTTTCTTTATTTTTTGCAAGGCTGGGCAACCAACATTTCTTCCACCACAAATACTTCCATCATCGCAAGTTCAAGTATATCTATTTCTTTTGATATCCCCTTTCATAATGTTTATTTTCTTTTTGTTCAAAGATGCTATCACCTATTCTAATGAATAAACCTACTCGTTATCATGTTCCACGTATTAATCAACATAATTTAGATGATATTCCAACAGAATATCGTTCTATGTTAGCAATAAATTATCCACCACGTAGTGATGATGATCTTGATGGATGGTTTACGTATTTTCAATATGAAGTTGCTATTTATAGACAAGCTATGCGACGTATTATACTTGATGTTATGCAATTCCGTCATCAACATAAAATCTTAGTTTCAGCAAATATGGATTTACAATCAAAAATCGATAATTATGATAAGAAAAAAAGAGTTTTATATCAACTTTTTGAAGGTGATAAACTTGATAAAGAAAAAATTCGAGAAATATTTGGTAAAAAAAATAGATGATTTTTATTAACTTATAATTGAAATAAAATATGAAATTTAGGTCGTTTAAATGGTAAAATAACAGTTCAAGCAAATGAATTAAGAGCACAAGAAGTTAAATTAAAGATCTATGAAAAAGAACTGACACGAGTAAATATTATTTATTTAGATAAAATGATATACTTTTCTTTTTATAGAAACAAGAATTACGTATTCAATATGATCAATTAGTTCATAAAAGTCAATCACTTGAAAAAGAAATAAGAATAACAAAAGAACGAGTAGATCGAGCAGATACACTTGAAGATACAATGCGGTATCAAGAACGTGTTATTGAAAAACTTCAAGCAATGATTAGTAATTATATGAGACAAAAACGTTCAGATGGTAGATATATTATTGAAATTAATTTTATTAACAAAAAAATCTCGTATATATTTTATAGGAACAATTAATGATATTGATCGAACTTTATTAACTGAACATGCTGCACTTGGTGTTGAAACAAAAAGATTTCGAGTTAGTTTTCTATTTAAATTCTATCAATAAACGATTGAATATTTTGCAGTACCAAGGAGCACAACAGGGAAATTCTACTGTATTGGTCAATAATAGTCAGCAAGATCTTGTAACACAAACTCAAGCTCGTCAAATCGAACTTGAACAACAAAATCTAGCATTTCAAAAAGAATTAGATGATTTAGGTGCCGAAGTAAGATTCTGAAAATTTTCTTTTATTATTACTATTATTTATATAATATTATTTCATTATTAGTTTGATGAAAAAGCCGAATTATGGAAAAGAGAGAAAGCTGAACTTCTTAATCATATCGATAGTATCGATAAACCAGTGAGATTATTTAGTTTCTTTTAATCTTATGTAAACTGTTAAATTTATTTTAGGAGCATGCGGATCCAGATGCAGAATGAACACAAAACAACTCACATACTATAATATTTCTTTATTTATATATTTAATAAAAATAAAATAAAAGTTTTACACAATTTCTCATCCATACCCACGCGAACGCTAGAGTTATAAAAATTCATTATTTTCGTAACAAAAGTTTTTTCTATTCAAAAAATGACTCATACCATTCGATTCCTCATTTGAATTTCAAGATAATAATGTTTTTTTGACCTTTTGTTTTTTTCCTATGAATCGCTCTTTATGATTTTCAATAAAGCGTAATTAAACATATTCTTTTCGCTTATAACAATAGTCAAAAGACTATTCTTTGAAGCTGTTTTTGAAAGCATATTAAGACAACTGTAATAGAAGTGTCACTAATTCCTTCAACAAGATAAAATTTTATATATCAATAGCTTTGACTATTCATTCGAATATGAAGCGAGTTACAGCGACGAGTGTTATTTGTACTTTATTGTTGTATCCATATTCAAACTAATAATACATACTATATTAACAATTATAGTAAAAATTTCACTTATCTTTTTTTACACATAATAGAATTTTAAATGAAGCTCTATATTTTTGATTTAATCTTATTTATGAAATTTAAGATGAAGAAAATAATAAGTATCGGAGCAATATTTAATGTGTTAATAATGATGATGCATGAATTGATTTTGAGTGTTGTTTTTATGATAAATTACATATTTGTAACATCAATGATCCTGAATTGATGAGAATTATGTACTCATATATGTTGTAGGCCAATCTAGTACTCAGGGCAATCTCGGATTGACCTAGGTCATTCTAAGATCTCAGTTTCGACTAGTTCAAACTAGGATCAAGTCAAAATCTCAGATCAAAACTCAGTTTTGGCCCTGAAGATAATTTCAGATTTCGGTTTGCCTATTCGAAAACTATAGCCAAATGGGTATACTTCATACACAAACCATTTCATTCTGAGCAAGATTATCTATTTAAAAAGATATAAGCACTTTCATCCATGAATCCAGGTTTTGCAAAAAACTATTAATAACTTTGTTAGTAAACAATTTTGCTAAAAATGCAATGATTTGTGTATGAAGTATACCCATTTGGCTATAGTTTTCAAATAAGTAAACCGAGATATGAAATTATCTTCAGGATCAAAAGTGAGTTTTGATATCAGATTTCGACTTAATTCTGGTTTGAGCCAGGCCAAACTGAGATCTTAGAATAGCCTAGACCAATCTAGGATTGGCCTGAATCCAGCAATGGCCTACGACATATACGTAGATATCTGCTATGTATAAAGATTAAAGTCAAATGAACTAACGATGCCGACATCTAAACTGAGAATACGAGTCAGAGAAAAAATGATTATAATGATAAACTATAAATTAATATTCTTTTTGAATTGAAAGCGAATTTCATTTTTAGATGACACCGATATAGAGATCTACCATATCAATACACAAATTAATGGCGTTCAGTTACAAGTATCTACAGAAAAATCGAAGATAGAAATGCTATGAGAATGAGCTCATCGATTCATCATACTTATTTTTATGTAAAATAATTTGAAGATTCTTTTTATTAAACATTTAATTGAAATATAATATCTATACTATTAATTTTAATTCAAATACCAAAGACTATGTTATGAGAAATTGATCAGACAGTCAGCAATCTCTCAAGATTATATTGTTAGAAAATTGAATCGAAATCAACTAAAAAATCTTATCGATATATCGGATCAAATGCTGCAATTTCCTTTTGATGGTAACTTTTGTTTTTTAATATAATCAAGCTGATTGCTTTTGAGATTCGACTAAAGTGTTGCTGACGTCAAACTTATCTATACTATTACAACGAATTGAATACATAGATCTAATTATTACTTTTTCTATACAGATATTTATTGAACTACTCCATTTATGTCCATACAAATACGAACATGTATCATAACAGTCACAAGGTTTTTTTTGTTTCTTTCTTCTACATGTACATTTTTTGCACATCATTGACTACTATTGACAATCGTCACATGTCGATTTTTTTTATATTCTTCTTACCATTACTTACGTCATGAAAACATTTCGTGTATTCACAAGTAATATTTTATCTATAGAAAAAGAAAAAAAACTGACATATTTTTCTCTGTTCTTAAAAGAAACCACGTTGTTAAACATTAACAAATTCGATCACTATGGCACAAAAACTCGATATTGACTATGAAACAACTATTTTCACACTTAAACCAGATAGGTTAGGTCCTAATAAAGCTACTTTATTACATGCTCGAACAACAAATAATAAGAATCAGCATTTTTATAAAGCAATTCTTTATTTACATGGATATATTGATTATTATTTTCAGTAAGTAATCATAGGTCGATTGTTTTATGAATGGATTTTTTTTGTAAATATAGTGATCATGTATGTATACGTTTTTTGGAACATGGATATGATTTTTATGCTCTTGATATGCGTAAATGTGGACGATCAATTATTTCACCTGAACAAGATAAATACATACATTATTGTACTGATCTTCATGAATATGATGAAGAAATTACACTTGCAATTGAACATATTATTAAAGAAGCGAAAGATAAAGAAAGAAAAATTCTACTTTTCGGACATTCAACTGGTAAGAAATAATAATAGAACTAAAATTTTTTGACTTTATATTAAACATAGGAGGTCTTATTGCTACTTTATATGCATCCTCTGGTTTAAGACATACTGATATAGATGCTGTTATACTTAATAGTCCTTATTTAACTCCAATGAACACAACTTTTGTTGAAACAATGCTTTTAGGTATTCTTATGAAACTACGTAAATCTCAAAATATAGATGCTGGTTGGTATGGAAAATCAATACATGTATCAGATAGAGGAGAATGGAATTTTGATTTAAATAAAATACCAATAGATAAATTTCCATTACATGGTACATTTTTATATGCTGTACATACAATTCAAGAAGATTTAGAAAAAAAACGAATTTCAATTTCATGTCCAGTATTATTTATGTGTTCAAATCGTTCGATAAAAGCAGATAAGACATGGCGTGATGAATATGCTGAAGGTATTAAATGTTCAATTTTCTCTATAGAATAATTCATTGATATTTTATTTCAGCTGATATTATACTTGATGTTAAAACTATGAAAACTATGGCTGCTACTATTGGTTCACAAGTAACAATTTATGAAATTGAAAATGCTAAACATGATATTTTCTTATCAAAACAATCTGTTCGTGAACAAGCATTTGATTTAATGTTTCAATGGCTTCAACATTTAGAAGATAATTGGTTAATTAAAACAAACATTTAATAAACAAATTCTTTTTATTTCTTATATAATTTGCAATACATCTATCATCTATCACAATCTGATGTAAACCCGTGAATAATTCGTATTAAAATATTGTGTTTGGGAGACACCAATAACTATGAACAATTTTTATTTTGTTATTTTTTATGTTCTTATTTATAATACTTTTTTTCTACTATCATCTGATCAGATATTAGTTTTCTCTGTTAGAAATAGACTGAATATAATAAGATAATTATTAGAAAATGTATAGTTTTTGTTATAATATTAAGGACATTCTAACATATTCATAACATTGCTAAGTTCAGTTACATAATAAACTAGATAGATCTTCTGGTCTAACGGGCTGTGACGACTGCTATGACGGCAGGACATGTGTGGTTCGAATCCCACGCACGGAGAGATTATATTTCTCTTATACTTTTTTGATGACTTGTACTACAATTAGTAAAATTTGAATTTGATTGTTGCTAAGAAGTGACTGATATAACAATGTATAAAAAATGTGGGGTATATATGAAAGGATGAGTATGTAGATGGCATACAAAATATCAGAGAAGGGATGATCTGAATAAAGAAATCCAGATAAAACATATTACACAAGAAAAGATATCACAAGATATACTAGAAAGAGATATCATACATCTATATGACAAAGTATTCATCGAGGTTAACAAATAAACAGAATGAAAAAGAAATTACATAACAACATAATACATGATATCAAATAGATTACTATTTCAAACGAGGGTATATGTTGACGCCCTTCTATATTATAAATACACGAATAATTTCAGCACAAAGTATCAGTTAGCAGCAAATTTATATTCGAAATAACACTTTACGTAAGTTTCAACTTTATTTCTCTTTTTCCCGTCTAGATTCCGATGAAGTCAAGTGTTAACTTGACTGAAACTAGTGAATAAATATTACCAAAAGAACTTGTATTTTTCATTTATATATATCTTGAGAGAGTGTAGTTGAACGATTATATTTTGAATAAGAAGAATAATCAATTACTCTTTCCTGCCTTTTTTTGCTAACCTACAACTACCTACTTTACATTATTCACCATTTAGAGTTACAATGTCAGACAAGAAATTACGATCTCACGCGGGTCCTCACGTACATACTAAGTCATCCGACGCCATTCCAAAAAACGAGCTTGGTCAAAAACAACAAACTGAAACAGGTGAATCTTTATGAATAAAATCTAGAAATTCAATGTTACCATAAATTTGTTATTTTAGGACAAGTGAAGATTCAAGTTGAAGGGAAGAAGCCAGTGTATTGGAACGATTTGTTTACTGCAAATATTTTTCCACACAGAGTTGAAGATGATTCACCTTCCTCGGTCAAAGACGAAACCGAAAATAACGAAGCATCATCATCAATGCGTAGTCTCTGATCAAAATTTCAATCACTAGCGACTACTGATAAACCAAAATCAGTATGTGCCACGACAACGGACACGTAAGATGAAATTGTTCAATATTATGAAGATAAACAAGACTGTTCTTTTTATTAGAGAGGTGCTCTCCATTCAATATGCTCGAATAAAAAAGCAGATTGAAGGACGTATCAACAAGCATTATCAAGGCGGTACAGCTCCGGCAAAATGATAAACTGAAAGTCTTTGTAACTCTAAAAACGGAAGTCACAAAGCTCAAACTTCAGCATGTGGAAAAAAGTTGTCTTATACAACTTTCATTCCTCAAACTATATCATACAAATAATAGTACTGCATATGAGAATAACATTGAAAATCTAAGACGTAGCGCTTCTTTAAATAGTTTTCAGCGTAATATGTGAGAGTCCATGCCCGAAAATGCTACAAGAAGTTTTTAAAATTACTTTTCTGAGACAAGATTATGCTGACAAAGTCGATATTTCTAGAGTTATCCTCTATAAAGAAAAACTTACTAATTCTCATTTGAAGTTCTATGGGGAAAAACGAAACATATCATCTGAATCAGCTCGTAGAGCTCTACGAACTCGTATATGCTCTCATTCAAAACTGACACTCATATTTGGGGTTATTCCCTCATCAATCGTTTATCTGATTGAATGGTCCAATGAAAAAAAAACGAAAACTTCACCTCATATTAATGTGATGTTTGCGATTTTCATGGGATGAAGGACATCTTATATATTTACTAACAGAGTTAGCTTATTTTAGAATCAACTAGTTATCAACGACTATATCACTGGTGGATGGAGCACTCTTATAAAAGTCTGAAAACGCATTAGATCGTACAATAATCAGTATATATCACACATTCTGTCGTAAGTATTATATGTTTTTGTTTGTGTTAGAACTCTGTTTTATCTCAGCTTTTTCTGTGATTATTCTCATGTAGGGCTTTCGTTTGATCTCGCTGATATGGAAGGAAAATTTAGGGAGACAATTATCAAAGCTATAAAGAAACGACTCTTTATATTGATTTTTTCTGCAGCTAGATAAACTGTTGATTAAAAATCTTAGTATTTCGCTCTCGGTTCTAATAGTTTTGTTTTAAATCTGCATTGATAAACCAAAGAAAAATTGAAATTATCATTGAATCGACATGATTTGCTTTCTTTTTTTGATAACAAATGAAGTCCTCCTTTTGATTTTCTTTTTCTCTTCTATAAAGTATAGAATAGTTTATGTTCTGAGGCTGGATATCTATTTTTTTGCTATAATGAGAGAAAAACTAGGTTCCTATTGCTCTATGTAGCTCAGTTTGTTGAACAAAAGAAGATCAATATGAATCAACAAAATTTTCAGATATTTGAAAGAGAGAGACAAACAGATACAAGTGAATATCCGTTCTACATCCTCTCATTTTCCTTGGAAATAGTTGATACAATTTCGGAAGAAATACTACCGGTGATATTACGTAGAAAGTTTTATGCTCCATAACCTTTGTTTATTCAAGTTGGAAAAGTTATAATCATGCAATTTCCTTGTGAATTTTAGTGAATATCAGCATGGCAGCTTTATCAATTTTTGTCGAAATATTAATAAACACCTTAAACGATTTTGTCAAACTATATTTTGATCCGGATTATTCAATATACTGGATGATGTATGCCATTTTTCTCTTTGTGATTGGATGTTTTGCATATACACTATTCTTCCGTTTTAATATGAGACGTCAGTCAATTTAAATAAAAGATTTTTCTATCGTTCAAATATTGGTTTAAACTAAAAAGTTTATGAATGCATTTAAGGGATCTTAAAAATCAAAAAATTTCATTCAAATGGTTGTTTAAAAACTTTTCATGAAAAAAATTGCATGTTTTTAAGTATTCCAAAAAATCAAAATTGTTACATTGTTTTCGTTATTTTCATTCCATAACATCAATTATTTCAGAGAAAACTAAATACATCACATTACTTTCATTATATTTACATCTCGAAGGTGTGGGTTGATCGATGATAGGCATGAACACACATATCTAGACCCATATTCATTATTTTTCTGTTGTACTGCTGTCATTATTGAAGAAATCCCAATTTCATTTTTGGTAGTTGACTCTGCCATATAATTCTTAGACCTGTATCTGGTGTAAATATGAAAAGAAAAAGCGATTACAGACATATCGCTAGGAGGACTAAGATGATTTGAACACTCAACGCATCCGAATTAAGAACAATTTAATCGATTGAATTCTTGATCGATATCTGATCTTCTCATTGTACATAAGTTAACGAAGGATAAATGATATAAGCTATTTGAATAGCATCGGAATGTAATATTTTATTGGATAATACTAATAATAAACAAAAGAAGTGCCATTTTTATTTTTTTCTTAATTTATATTATGCTTCAAACTTTGACTATCTGGTCATAACAGTACATTTGTTCATAGAAGATAAAATACTAGCGAAGAATTGAAGGATAGAATGATACTAACAAATAGAGGAAGAGAAGATAGAACACAAAAATCACAAATAATAGAAAGAAAACAATAACGTAATCGTCATATATATATAATAAACTGATTGGTCGCCTTCTATTCTATACCGTACATCATTCCCACGACACCTCACTGCCAAAGGAAGGAATCGAACCCTCTGGTCTCTGAACTTTATATGTATAGAACTAATACGCCATCCATGGCTAAAGGGCTTCATTCACAAAGATGTCTGTCACGTTTCTTGGCACAATATTATCTTCCCCATAACTCATCATCACCAGGATAAAATTTTTGCGTTTCTTCATTAAACTCTAAACTAAAATAAAAAAAGAACAACAAATTATCAATGCATCTAAGAATGACTTACGCCTGAATAATCCCATTTTCCAGTCTATATCCAAATCCTTCAGTCTTCGGAAAAACAGTTCTCAGAGTTGAAATCCTTATAATATTCCCAGTACGATCATTCCGACTACCGAAAACGCCGTCTTAAACGGCGTGAAACGATTATAAAACGTTGTATTACAGCATTAATTCTCAGCGTATTATGCTGTAGTCCGTCATCCCGAAAGAATAGCCTTTGTTTTCGTGTTTTATTGTTATTTATCGTTTTTACATCGTTTACATGGCTGTTGCTTTTGACTTGCTTAAGTTCGAAGACGACGAAGCGTTACCATCTAAATAGATATTGATAGATATATATTTATAGGAAAGCTTTTCATTAACTTACTATTTGTTTAAATAGGAAGGTAAGTAATATCATCACTCCATAATTCATCATTGCTGGGATAAATGTTTTTTTGTCCTCATTGTATTTCATACTAAAATAAAAAAAAAATCATTAGATTATCAATGCATTTAAGAACGACTTACACGTTAAGAAATCCATTTTCCAATCCATTTCCTAAAACTTCGATGTTCGGAAACGCAGTTCTCAACGTGGAGATTGTTATGCCATTATCATCATCAACGCTGAATAAAATAATCCTTTCACCTGGTGTCTCTTGCACTCATAATCAAGAAAAAATAATGAAATCGACGAATTTTGTCCAATGGTCTTTGTGTCCACCTAAATCATAGAACCGTTGCTACACCTGAACATTATAATTGTTCTGTACCCATTTATCATATACTTCGATGGTATTTTTTGCATACGCATATACTTCATTGAAAGCATCATTTAGTATATTTTTCAATGTCTGTTTATTATTTATTCGATATATAAGATAAAAAAGAAGTTTAAAACCTTGTAAGTAAGTTTTAATCTTACGTTTATCTTTAATGTCATTACCTTGTTTTTTTATTTTCACTTACCAAACGAGGGATTTCTGAATGATCTTGGAACTGTACTTCGTTCTTTCTAATTGAGTTAGAAGGACCCGTCTTCAATGATGGTGGTAGTGGTACGAATGGCATATGCTGCTCATTCAGATAACCTCTTGACCAATTATTAGTATGTATCCATTTCATTGGCACACCATTTGAATCAAAACCAAGTTGTTGTTGACTATGTCGATACATTGACATGATATATTGAGGGTGTATTTTCAAAAATAAAACACTCTTGGACTAATTCAAGATCTTTCGATTCAATTGAAAAAGTCACCTAATAAATAATTAAATACCTAATAAAAGAAAAAGAGTAATGAATAAATTTAAGAGCGTTTTCATTTGATCTCTATTAAAAGGTACATCTATTAATTTTTTAGACTTATACATATAATGTAATGTTATTTCTGTTTCTTCTTTAACTGGTATGTTCGTATATAAACTTTCTACATCGAAACTACATTTCATATAAGTTTTATTTTTATCGAATATAATTTCTTTTAATTTATTGATAAAATGTTGATGTTAATTGGTGACGAAGTTTGCTATCTGTTACTTTACTATTATATAATGATAAAATATGTTTATTCAGTTCTTCGTCTCGTTCAATATGAAATTTGTCACTATTTAATTCTTGAAAGTGTACTCCTTTCAATATAACTTCTGCCTTTTTCATATAAGTACCTTTATCTACCTTACATATGATGGTATTTTTATTTGATTTTAGTGATTTTATCGCAGCTAATTTTAAATCTATTTCAAAATTTAAGAAATTTTTTATCGTGTTTTCTATAAAAAAAAAAGTCCTAACCACGACGTAATACTCTCTCTTCTACTTCTGAACGTGTATATGATGATATATTACGAATTACTTTCGATTTCATTTCTTCGTAATTTTGTCCAATTGGACCTCTATTTAATCTTTCTAATTTTCCATTACTTCTCGATGTTTCTTTTCAGCTGAATTATAGAAAAATTTCTTTACATTAATATAATCTAAGCTCGAAAGACGTTTTTCTAGTTGTCTCGATTGTTTCTGTCTAACTATTGAAAAAACTTTTATTTTCCTGATATTCTTAAACCTAGCGTCCATAAACGTATATTAACAAAATTAGATATTAGATTATAGATTAAACAACATCCAAGAAATTCAATATCGTATTTTGCTTTTTATAATTTCTCATTTAATTCTTCACAATGTCGTGTACTTACTAAAATCGATTTGCCATATTTCAAAGGAAGATTGGAAATAAATTTGGAACAGAGAGCAGTTGGTAAAAAATAATAAGAAATAAAAGATACTGATTCGAGCTTTCGTGTAAGTATATGAGGCCATAAATAACGTATAACACTTCAGTTAATATTTTCGAATCGGCTGGATTGATTGATGCTGCATGATTAGAATAAAACTCTATTTTGAAAGATCTGAAATTCGTCACAAACTCATGATGTGTTTTCGAAAGTATCCAAGATCAAAAACCTTCATAGACCTAAATAAGAACTAAAATGTACCAGTCAAGTAAAAACTAGCGTGGATAGCATTAGAGAAAGAAATAGCAGTAGCAGAATGAAAGATGAAAACACCTACAATAAAGTTCTGTGTTGCACTGAATTGATAAGTGAAGCAAAACCAAAAATACAATTTAAATGAATGATTGTGATAGAGAAAACACTGTTATTGTATCATCCAAAAAAAAAGACAAAGTTAAATTAAGTCTCTACTCCTAGTAAAGAATTCTTTATTGATATTTTGAAAATAAAAAAAAAATCTGTCAGTTTCTTTCTGTCATCGTGTATGCATTTGTAGTAGTCGCCTCTGCAGAAAATTGTCGACGATTAAACAACTTCCAGAGTTCACGACGAAATAGTTTACTCGACAATGTAAATAAATAGAAGCTTGTACAAGGACCGAAAAAGCCAAACTGGAAGAGTACATCTTTAATTAAATTTTTTCTGGCTGCTCCAATAGGATCTGTTATGGAATTGGCATCCGATAGAGAACCAAGGAAACTAAATGATGCGGCACTTGTTGTTAGACCAAAGACGAGAGACTGGACGAGCATCATTTGAATCAATTGTCGATCAGTTGATCTTGAAATTTTTTGTCGAACATTTTGAGTATTTGTAGGTGCAACTCGTTTTTTTCCCTGACGATACTGATGAATGGTAAGCAAACCAAATATAAGCATCCCTAGAGATGGAACTAAAGCCCATATAATCAAATTAAAAAAACTATAAAATGTTTGATATGTGCTTGATTGACCAACACATGATAATGGAGATTGAACTATTGTATTGTAAACGAGAATATGAATATGCATAAGACCGATAAGGAGAGTTGTGAATGGAATAGCAAGACGAGTAACACGAAGTGAACTCCATCCTCGAAGAGTAGCAGAAGATGAACTTTGTAAAAACCTATATAGAAAAGGATATCGATGTTAAAAGAAGAATAGAATGTTCTAAAACATAGATTCTGATTTATGATTTTCTACTTATTATTTTGAATACTCACCGATCAGCACAGGCAAGAGCAATAAACCACGCAGGTAGAACTCTACAATGTAAAAAAAATGAAGATGAATTCAAATCAAATAATTATGTATGATCTAGAATACCTTGTACAAGCCGTTAGAAACGATAAAAGCTTACAAACTGGCAATGAATATACAAATACATCGATTTGATACCCCATTTGAAGAGTACGTAGAGGGAGATTACCATAGACGATGCAACAACCGACAACAGTTGATGCTAAAAAATATTTGGCGCATGGATTTTTACGGAGTGTACGACGTGAAAATACATAAATGCTCATTGAATGACCAATCATGCCAAGAGCGACCATCATAAATAGCCAGCATCGGGAATACACCATTGTAGCTTCATTGATGGCACTGACAGTTGCAGAAACATTACTTACATTCGACGATGACATGATAAGAGTAAGAAAAATCTTAAGTTTAAAAATTTTTTTTTTGAGCAACTAATCTTATATGCTTCGCTTTTTATATCTAGATATGTGGATAGTTTCTTAATAATGAATGCATCATGACAAAATAATTACGCATACAATACGTGAATAAATTATGATCGAAGAGAAGAAGCATAAAATAATGTAATAGACGATGCGTTACAACAACTGTCAAAACCTAGCAAATATCCATCATTTACTTAAGCGGCAAATATGATATTTTAATCAAATGTAAGAATCTCATGTTTTTTCTTCAAAGAAAACATCTAATCGATGTGAAGCCCTCGGATTGTTTTTCATTAATAACCACCTTTATTTTAGATAGATTGATAGATCTAACTCATAACAATCTTTTCAACACAGACTTCACGCTACCTTCATTGTACTTGACACCTAAAATATCAAAAAAGGGTTTTTTTCAATCCGATCAAGTAATTGATGGATTGTTAGAGATATTCATTCAAGTATAGCAGATGTATATGAAGTATTAAATGATGGAACCGAAATTAAATCAAAAATTTGTTGAATAATTGCAATATTTTTGTATTTTTTTTTGAATCCGTATGTGTCATAGGAAAAATAAATTAAGCTGATGACCTTATTATCATTGGCGCCTTGTGAGAGGCGAACGAATTTATAATAAAGTTTTACTATAATATATTCATATGCTTTACTTTAATTTATAAAATACAGTCGTCGTACACGGCTATAGTTCTTATGCATTTCATGATATTAACAGTTCATCGTCTAAATGAATAAGAATAAGCGAGGAAAAAGAATATACACCCGTCTTGCAATTCTGATAAGAATCTTTTTTTTGAATTCTGTTCATCAATAAAAAGAAGCTCGACTGAACTTCAAGATTATAAAGAATCCTGTCAGATTTGTCTGCAAGAAAAGAATAGAACTAAAAACGAGGAAAGAAAAATATGGAAGACATTTTATTTATATTAAAAATTCATATTTGCTGCTCCAATCGATATAACTAAAAGGTTGTTTGAAAAGAATATTATTTGTTTGTTAAATCGAATAGAATAAACATTATCTGTTTTCGCCTAAAAATGAATAAATAAATTATAAGCGTTGATATATTTTGCAGATCTTGAAAGAAGAACATTCATTATTTAGAAAAAAATAGTATAAAATCAATCCTTGTTCAATCATTAGTATTTAATTCAACGTGAAGATGAGGGAACTTTCAACCAAAAGAAATTTGTGAAGGGTGTGGGTGTGAGTGTAGGTGAGGGTATTATGTTCGTCCGATATTCACATTCACACCTGAATGACACTTTCATCGACATTTCTCATTTTATATCAAATTGCATTATGATGCGTTTTATGTTTCTCGACTCAACATTATCCAGTCGAATTTGTCGTTCTGAGTAGTGTGATATTCAAAAAATCTTGAACATTTAACTGTACATGTAATTTTAAGCTAATTGTTTAATACTTTCTTTTAAGTCTCGTGTTTTGTTTTTGGTTTGTATTCTAAATCAATACAATTATTGAAAGATTTTTTATAGTATTCTATTTGCATTACAAATGAATAATTTAATTAGAATTTATTACAGTAAAATTTGCATTTCATATAATCATTCGTAAAATGCATTTCGTCTAAATATGAATGATACTTTTGTTTTATTGACTATCTTCTACTATTATTATCTTGTTTGTCTTTCGACATGCTTTACGATGAAAAAAATATTTGATTCAATCAAAGGAAATAACAAAATAATGAATATCATTTCAAAAGCGTGGGTGTGGGTGTGTATTGGTGTTTTTTCTTTATCTACACCCACGTTGAATATATGATATACCTGCGATGATTGAGAGGGTCTGACAAGTTTGAACAGATGACCCGAAATCATCAGTTTGTATCCGAATATCTTTAATAAGTGTTCAAAAACTCTTAAAGAGTTCTAAATAGTAACAAATCCGTAAACCCTCCTATAGTTTCCCAGGATACGTTTTTCTAGAGTGTACCTACCATAGCACGTACTCACAAAGTTTCAGCACTTTTTACCCTCGAGTGCTTGTATTGTAATTTTAATATCTTGAGAAAAGAAAGATTTCAGAAACTGAAATTATAGAATTGTCTATAATTCACTTATGGCTGCATGTATGTAACGCTCCCGCTTGGCTTTCTAGTTTGTGTGTTACCCTTATGCTTTTGTCCTTACTTTGTATATCATATTGTTCTTTGTTTCGATCTGCCCCTATGCTTTTGCCCTTACTTTGTATATCAGATTGCATTTTATTTCGATCTGCCCCTATGCTTTTGATCTTACTTTGTACTTCATATTGCTCTTTGTTTTGATCTGCCCTTATCATTCTTTCCTTTTAAACGCTTCCTTACATTTTATTCTTATCATGTTTTTTCTTGCACCTTGTTCGATCTTATTATTCTTTCATTTTATATGCTTCCATGCATTTTATTCTGATCATGCTCTTTCCAACACCTTGTTCGACCTTATCATTCATTTCTCATTTTCTCGGTAACACATGAGTATATAAGTGCATACTTTTTTTATAGAAGCGATGTGATTGTTAATATTCAAAATAAAGAACATTCGTAGCGGTTTCTGTTGTGCAGTAAATTTTAAGAATACTACTTTGTTATCGAGGGAAGATTTCATTTGTTATTCTTTCTATGTCGCCAAATGAAAATTCGTTCGCCATACTCTACAAAATCATCTCGTTGCTAGCTCGTTGATTAATGAACATATAAACCAGAAGAAGAAATAGAGGAAAAAGCAGATTCTCTATTGTTCATTATATCACACTCACATCGTATGGTTTCCATAATGTTGATTCCATTATAAAAACAACTAAAATTGCAATTCTCTATATTATATTTTAGATATTATTCTTATCTTTTAACATATAAGGACATGATTGTTAATAGCAACATACCAACAGCAACAGCAGCCACGCGTGTCAAAGAAATCTCTATTCCAATATCTTGCCATTCTCGGAAGCCTTGTGCTTTAGACTGGGCTGAATCAAAGTGGATAAGATGGATTTATGTTTTGTTTTGGTGGTGGTTAAATCCAATTTTAAATACTGGTCGTAAACGTCAATTAACTGATGATGATTTATTTGATGTGTCATCAAATGATGAATGTGGCCAATTATTAAACAAACTTGAAAATGAATGGGAAATAAATGAAAACAAATATGAATATGCCAGTACATGGAAAGTAATCATACAAACATTTTGGAAAGAATGTTTATTATCTGGTCTCATTTTTTTTCCATTTATTGCTACAAAAATAGCTCAACCACTGCTTTTAAAACAAATAGTCGATACTATTAATGATAGTAATAGACCTTCATACGAAGGCTATTTATATGCCGTTGGACTAGGGTTTGCTATTGTTTTGCAAGCACTTATACATCACCAATATTTTTTTCGTGCAACAAGAAATGGAATGCATATACGAATTGCACTATCATCGATTATTTATAAGAGATTATTGTCATTGCCGACAAGCGCCATTAGAAAGACAACAACAGGTCAAATAATAAATTTAATTTCAAATGATGTTAGTAAATTTGAAGAATTATTTACCATTATTCATTTTATGTGGGCAGCACCATTAGAAGCAATCATTGTCTTCGTTATAATTTGGAAGCAAATTGGTATTCCAACCTTATTTGGTTATGGTGTTTTATTACTTTCAGTACCATTACAGTTATTTTTTAGTAAAAAATTTGGAACATATCGAAAAAGTGCTGTTGAATGGGCTGATAAACGTGTAAAAGTGATCAATGAAATCTTAGTTGGTTGTGAAATCGTTAAAATGTATAGATGGGAAGAAGCATTAGAGAATATTGTTTGTGATGCAAGGAAAAATGAACTTACAGGTATTCGAAAAGCAAGTTTCATTCGAGCAATTAATATGGGTATTTTCTTTGCATCTTTACCATTAATATCGTTAGCCACATTTGGTGGAAGCTGGTTAATGGGTCAAGTATTATCGTCTGCAAATATATTCATGGTTTTATCCCTATTTAGCAATATACGATATCCGCTAATAGATGAATTACCTGTAGCTATGGAGAAATTAAGTGAAAGTATGATAGCATCAAAACGTATTAATCAACTCATGAATTTATCTAAAACGGCTCATACAAAAACTGTTGAAGAGTATTCAAGCAATCATTCTAGTCGTATACCAGGTAGTATAATAATGAATAAAGCATCATTTACTTGGGGTTCTACTCAATCTTGTGAATTAATTGACATTGATTTAAATGTAACTAATGGTCTATTAATTGGTATTATAGGAACAATTGGTTCATCTAAATCATCATTTTTATCAGCTATACTTGGTGAAATGTCTCTTGTTCAAGGTATTAGTAAGGTAAATGGTAAGATAGCATATGTATCTCAAACACCATGGTTATTTGCTGGTACAATACGTGAAAATATATTATTTTGTCAACCTTTTAATAAGGAAAAATATGAACGAGTAGTAAAAGCATGTCAATTAATTACTGATTTAAGATCATTTCTAGCTGGTGATTCAACAATTATCGGTGAAAAAGGTGTCAATTTAAGTGGAGGACAACAAGCACGTATCTCACTTGCTCGAGCTTTATATACTGATGCTGATATTTATTTATTTGATGATCCATTAGCAGCAGTTGATTCATCAGTTGCAAGAAGTATTTTCAAACACTGTATTAGTAATGAAGGAATTTTAAAGAATAAAACTCGATTATTAGTCACACATCAGATACAATTTTTATTGGAATTTGATCATTGTATTTTGTTAGATAATGGAAAAATAGAAAAACAAGGTTTATTGAATGATTTATTAACATTAGATAAAATTAAGCAATCTTATCACAATCAACAAGACCATACAAATGAACGTAATCGACGACATAGTAGTATAATCCCTGATTACGATTCTACAAATCAATCCGAGATTATCGATGAAACTCGTATTATTAAA